AGTACAGGTTTCAATCAAATATTTTTATATATATATATATATAAATACAGAGAGATTATAATATATACTAATTTGAATAATTTGAATGTGTATCAACAAAATCTTACTAGTATCATCGGCAATTACAGCAGCTGTAAAAAAGGGAAGAAATAAATAATTAATAGATTTAGCAGTTAGCACACTATTTACATGTATATTTTTAATATAGTTTGAAAATGCAATATAGAAACACAAAAAATAAAAGCAAAACTTTCTTTTCAAATAACTATTTATTCTAATGTCTGTATCTGTAAGCAATTTTAAAATTATCCCGTATCTAAATATTTCCCTCTTTTCTCGCAGAAATAAAAAATATTTGTTTATTTGCTGATTAAATAAATAATTCCATTTTTAATGTGAAGTATATAAACTTTTAAAAAAAAGTTTATATGCCATACTTTAGCAGTTAACATGGTAAATTATTATTATTTAGCTATTATAGATCAAAGCCGTTAGAAAAATCTCCTATTTACAATTATATTATTGTTTAAAGGGTACTTTGTTTTAACTCGTGCTGAACTCGTTTAAATGTTGCATGTGAGATAATTCCATGTGAAAGTAAAGTAATATTTGTATCTACATAAAACAACATACGTGCCTGCATATTCATTAGACCAAATTTAATAATAAGTATGATATATTGAAAATTTCAAATAAAACTGTTGAAATAAATTGTTTAACTTAAAATTGTACAACCATCAGTAAATCATATTGCGTGCAATAAATTTAATAACATTCATACTATTTTCTTAAATGTCAATTTCACAGGAACTATTCGACAGATTTCTTCAAAATTTTGCATTTTGCCATGCAAAATTACATTCTTTAGAATGTTGCGAAAATTGTTAACCTTACAAATCAAAATTTTTAACTATTCATTAAATAAAATAATAAATAATCATTGAAAATTATTTTTTGCATGGAATTATCTATGGATAAACGAATTTTATAAGCTCGAACAAAAGTTTTTCAATTCACTGTCATAAATTTTAGAAATACGACGAAATAAGCAAAAAATAAGCTTTTCTTTAAGGAGTTCATACTTTGGACCGATCTCTTGACCAAACTATTGGAATCCCAGGTTGCTGCTACATTTATATTTTGGAGATCAGAAATCTGAATCTGTCGAAATAAAAGTTTGTTTATTCCCTTGTTGTGTCTGATTTCGTAACTTAAAAAATCGCTTGCTTTAAACAGCATATTTATTAAACTTTCGAACTATTAAGATAGAGTTCTCGATCTTGAAGATCTTAGAAATTAGATCAAAAATCATTCAGGGTGGTCTGTTTTTTATTATTTTTATTATTTATTTTATTTTTTTGCGTACTATACATATTGTAATTAAAGACAGTATTACAATTTGGCTCTTATTTTCAAAAATATGAAAAAGTTTTCAAGGAAAAAACATTCCAGATTTCTCTAGAATGATATTTCTAATGATATTTGTTTTAGAATAATTTTAATTTCAAGTATATACGCATCCAAGAAATTTACCAGGGTAATTCTGAATGTTTCGAGTTACGGCTAAACCATTTAACATTGATTTATTAGCATTTAAGAGATATCACACACATTCACAACCAAAACTGCTGCAAATATAGTTTCTTTCATTCTTACTTTCGGTGGTTATTTAATATTAGATTCTCCCAACTTGCTATTTCCTGCATTTAAAAAACAATTGGTCTCAATAAGTAAAATCAGTCCTTGAAAGTTTCTTAGATTAAAGTTTCCTATATTTCTATAGAAAGAAAATAAAAGGGGTACTCATTCATTTTGGTGTATTTTTATCTAGTGAATTCTAATTATTTTTCATGCTTCAATTGCAATTTGCCAGTAAGTTCTAATATATTATTCTCTACTGGAATTGCAGCTTATAGGATTGTAGAGTAGCAGTTAATTGAAATTGAGTTTTGTTCCTTTGCAATAACTGCTTTTCTAATTGACGATTTTTTTTCTTCACCACAATTGATTTAGGAATATTTTTTAAGTCCTATATTTTTGATACTTTGATGAATTAGAGCATAAAATACTTGCCTTTATATCTCTTTTCATACAATTTATGAGTATATAAAAAAGTGACACCGTCAATCATTTCAGGTTTTCTCAGAAAAAATCTGAAATTACCTAAGTAAGATAATTTAAAGGTTTTTTTCTTTTTTTTTTCTTTCTTCTTTTAGGGATTTATTATGCACCATTTTTTCTAACGTTCCTTTAAGTAAGGGTCCCAGAGACAAATTTATTTTTCTGAATAAACATTATCTAATTAATAAGTATTTGTATAGATTTGGTCCCATGTCAAAAAAAAGTTGTTCTGTTTGTCTCATGACTTTCGTATAATCCTATAAATCACAATAGTATTTTAATGAGCGAACTCTAATGCTTGTCTAATCATTTTACCCTTTTCAGCTTAGCTATGTTTTTACATTCATTAGCTACATTCATTGCTGTACTACATTAGTTACATTAACCGTTCTTGAATAAGCTACAATTTAAAATCACAGTGATCTCGCGTTAATACACGATTCGTTTTTTTTTAATGAAACAAAAACTTATTTAATGCTACCGATTGTAGTGACAAATTATTTTCTGCAGACGCAAAATTGGGCAAAATTTACACATTATCTCCTTTATTTGACAATTACTCTCTGATTTTTTCCGAAATATTTCAAAATAGCCATTTTTCCAATTAAAAAAATTAGGATTTTATTTTATCAACAGCATACTTTTGCAAAATTTAATATTCAAGCACTACAGAGAATTTAGTTTAAAATTTTTGTTTACAATTTTCTAACACGAGAGTAAAGTATTAAAAAAAGAGAGAAGAAAAGGAATAATTTTTCATACCATTAGAGATGAGCATAAGAGCTGCAACAGCAACAGCAACGATGTATTGGAAGAATCTCATGTTTGTTTGAGGTTTTCTTTTCACAAAGTGTGAACTAACTCTAAATATAACGGTTTCTAGAGAAGTGTGGTTCATATGGCACTTTCATTTCAATTTATATTCGATATAATCCTTAACTATTACTTAACCACATGACACAAAAATGGAAAATTGATAGATAATGACTCCTTGCGGATATAATTTGCATATCGGTGTTTGCTCACAAGACTTAAATATTCATTTTTATCCTTTCCTAATACTTCTTAACTCACCATTCTTACTTTAATTATGTTTGTACAGGTAATTTCATCCCGGGTTCGATCGCGAATTCCAGAAAAAGGGATTAATTTTATACTATCAGTTTCAGGAATGAAAAAAAAAACTTTGATATTACAGGTCTTAAAATCGAGTTATGTCTTCTAAAAATGCAGCAAGAGAAAAAGAACTTAATATGAAACTACGAAATATGAGTCAAGGGATAGTCGGAAAAAATGCGCAATTATTCTACGGTATTCTAAAATTTGAAAGTCTCAAAAGTGTTCAAAAATCGTTAATTTTATAAAGAATACTTTTGAATTGTATATTTGATTAAAAAATATTCGGTATTTGATTAAAAATCAGATAATGAAGAAAATGGAAGGAAACGCGTATTTTCTTTTGAAATATTTAGTTGATATACAAAAATGAAACTCTGAATCTTATGAATTAAATTGTAAAAAAATTTTATTAATATAAAAGGTTGATATCATAATCTTAGATAATTAATAATTAAATAATGCGTTAAACAAAAATAATTATGTCAGTGAAATAAATAAGCAATACATAAAACTATGATTCGATAATAATAAAATAAAGAGTTTGCATGCGTGTGTGTCTCTTATAACTCCAAAATCATTTGGTCTATCAACCTGAAATTTAGACAGTGGGTAAAAGGAGCAATTTTTGCCCACGTCCTCATTTTAACGCTATTCAACAAACTATTATATATATATATACAAACACAGTAACTTATAGGGCCATATTGTGGGTCCTCCAATGGGCCTATAGTTTCCTCTGGTTGGCTACATTAGTACTTTGTTGTATAATACGCGGCCCAGTTTGAATATCACTATTAAGAGGAGATATAGTGCCATGTATAAATATAGTATATTAAGCTCCAACTTCTTCATTTTAACGATCAAAATCTTTTAAAATTTTAATTAGATCATTCAGGGGAGAAATTTAAAAAATGGAAATTTCTCATTGGTTTAGAGCTAGTGCCACTGATATAAATGAAACTGCAGGCGATTTTAAATATAGCATTAGTGATGTTTTCTTGCTTATAGCTCTCATTAATTTAAAAAAGGAGCTTTTTGCATGTTCTTAGAAATGTAAAAGAAAAAAATTGTTAAGTCAGATAAACTCAATGATCAACTCGAGCGTGGTAGCATAGGAGGACTACGTCTTCAAATATAACTATGTATTCGTATATAATTATGCTTTTAAAACGTGTTTCTATGAAACTTGAAAATTTAAAATCAAAGGTATTTGAAGTATATATATATTTATATACAAAATGAGGACGC